TTTTGTTCAAGTGTGGAGTCAAGGCTCTGGTTACTTAATTTGAATATAAACAGGATGATTCTACAAGACTGGAAGTCTGGGGACCTACAGGCCTGGATAGTTAAGAGACATTTATGCAGCCACCTGCCTGGGAGAGCAGTCTGGGAGAACCCGACCTTGAGGGGCAGAGGTCATGGGGAGCTTATGACCTAACACCTTCAGTCTTCGGCAAACAGACCTACAGGAAGGGATGCTGTCTAGAGAAATTGAAAATAGAAATTTTTTTCTGTAAATTCAGCTTGTATAACATTTTCACCTTTTGGGGGGGTTTAATATCTACTTCCATCCCTGGACTCTAAATTTCACAAGGGCAAGGATTGCATATATTATGTATTATTTATCACCATATACAGAGTAGATGGTACAGAGTTCAGAGTGGACAGGCTTTGGTACAGAGTAGGTGGGCTCTGAATACATCTGTGTTGATTGACAACTGGGAGACCCAAGTCAAGCCCCTTGGTAAGCAGTGAATGCTGACAATGGGATTGCCAAGGTGGTAGGTGTGGGGTCTGTGAACAGAGTTGTGCTACAAGTATAGAGAAGGGGCTTGCTCAACCCTGAGGGGAAGAAATAGGAATGAAAAAAGGTGTTCTGGAAGTAAGTTGAATCTGTTGAGTTGAATCTCAGAGAAGGACCAAAGGTTTGCTGGAGGGAGACTGCAAAGGCAGGTACTGCGGAGCAGGCAACACATGCAGGGATAGGCGGGGCAGACCAGCCCTGGGACCGGGGAGCAACTGCAGGGTCAGCCCTCTGAGGTAGGGAGCAGTAATGAAGGACAGGCCTGGCCCTGCTGGAGATTCCACCCCGATGGCAGTGGGAAGCAGCTAGGGAAGGGGAGACACAGTCAAATCTATGTTATAGAACCTACCTGGGATGCTATGGGAGGGATGAATTTGAGACAACAGCAGGCTGCTGAAATAATCTTAGAGAAGGAAGAGAAAGAAGATTATTTTGTTAAACCAATACATATTATGTGCATGAAGAAGAGGGGAAAGATTTGTGTTTCTGTCGGGATTTGGCTATTGGGAGTGAGATAAAAGGAGTCTGGATGCTATTGCTGGTGCAGCATCGTAAATAGCTGTCTGTCTGCACTAGCACTGTGCCAAGTGCAACAGAGGTACTGTATCATTTGAGCCTCATCATGATGCACTGAAGTATGAAAACTTTCATCCTCAATGTGTAGATGAGGAAACTGAGACCCAGAGAAGCTGTCACTTAGCCAAGGTCACTTGGTTAGTATGGAGTAACTAAGATTTGACCTTGAGCAGTTGGATCAAGCAGTTCGATCTTAGCTGTACCTAGCACTGCCTTCAGGTTAACAATGTTTGGGTTGGCCAGCTGGGTGATGGCACCTCGACTCTAGTCCAAGGAAACAGGAGGAAATGTTTCCCTGGAGGGAAAATGACAAAGTGAGTTAGGACACACTGAGTTGGAGATGCTGTGCATTATTCTGTGATATCCAGTGGGTATTTATTTTCAGTTGAGAGGGCATCTCTGGAGGTGTAGATTTGGAGGCACTGGCCTACTGACAGTACTTTAAATCGTGGAGATAGTGAATGAGACAACTTAGGAGATGCAAGAGTGAAGAAAGTAAAAGGTCAAGGACAGGACCAGAAGACAGTGAAGAATCAAACATAGCCTTTGGCTACGACCATCAGGAAGTCACTAGGAGCCTTGGTGAGAGTGGGACCTTTAGTAGGATAGGAGTAAACACAAGTTCAGTGACTGGGGTAGAGGCAAAAATCTATTCTAAAGACCTTGGCTGTAGAAGAAAAGTACTACCTCCTATAGACAAGGGATGAGGGGTCAGTTGTACGGAGGCTTTCTTTTAGTCATTAAGGTAAAAGAGATTGGCAAATGTTGCAGGCTAAAGATATGGAACCAATGGAAAGGATGAGTTTGATGAATGAGAGGTGACAGAGTGACATCCCTGGAGAATGGGGTGAAGATATCAGCATTTAGAAAGAGTAGGAACATTTCTTTTTGAGTTCAGAGAAAAAGTGAAGATTTGAACCTATCTTGAATAGGATACAAAGGGTTTTAGATTGGTGATATTTGGCCAGGGGCTCTACTGTATTCTGAAACCCACTGCTGCATTTGCACTGAGATGCACTTCTCATGGGTTTCCCAAAGCCAAGGATGTCAGCATAGCAGGGTTACAATTCCCAGGGAACCCACTCTTGGGAGATGAAGGACGGCTGTGATGCCTGACTTTAACTCAAGGGTTCTCCGGTGCTCTGGATGAACCTTCCTTAAAACTGCACAGCAATCTTGGGTGCTTTCACCCAGTCTTCCCTCCCTTTCCTTCACTGGGGGTCAGACTGTATTGTTTGCTCTTCCTGATTTCTCTGCTCCTTTTCTATTGTATCTCAAGAGTTTTTCTTAAAATCCTTGTACATTTAGTCTGCTTCACAGAGGACTGAGACTCACATAGAGAATAATATGCACAAGTGGGTAAAACCAAAAGGGTTGAGCCAGGGAAATTTCGATCCATTAATGATAGGTATTGACTAGAGAGCCCACGAGGGATTTGAATGTGACAATCTAAATGGGTAGCAGGGGATCCCGGTCACTTTCTTGTAGAGGTTTGCAACTTACTGTGATTGCACATCAAACAAAAGGTGGATTCTCAGGTGTAGGCAATCATGATCACATCAAGATGGTGTGATACAGTGATGGGGGTGGTGGGGCAGCCGGGAGATGCTGAAGGGGATCTTAATTATGGGAGTAGGAAGTGAGGTCAGCTACTCTAAATATGGAAAGTCAGCAAGTGGGATCTTGCAAAGTGGAGTTTTGGAAGAGCTACTGTGGGGAAATGAAGAGAAAGCTAGTAACATAATGAAGAGAGGCTAATGGGAAAGAGGAAGAAGCAGCAGGGGCGGGAAGACAATACAGGGCCTCATAGGCCTTGGGCTGGTCTTTGGATTTTGTGTTGTTAAGGAAAACCAGTGTAGGGTTTCAAGCTGGGACACTACATTATCTGATTTACATCCAAGAACATTTTGGATGCTGTGGTAAGAATGGAAGCGAAAGGCCAGCTACAGGCTTTCTTCTGCAGTCGCCCAGAAGAGAGAAGACATGGCTTGGAGGAGGATGGGACTAGTACAGATACAGTCTTCTTTCTCCCAGTAAAATATGAAATCAAGGCATTAACTGAAAGGGAGGTATCTATTTTTTCTGTATCATGGATTATGGCCCACTGTCATCCACTGCTTATGAGAAGCTAACATTCACCAGGAAAGCCAACTGTCTGGAAATTAGGAATATGTATTTCTCTATTTTACCACCCAACTGACATGCAACTTTCAAAGTACTATCTACAGGCACTGGTCAAATATTTCAATTAGGCCAATTTAGCAGGAACACTGCATCTATGTGGATAGAAAAAAAGGTGAAGACATTAAAATATATTATAAAAATTTAAGTTTAAAACTCTAAGAAGAGGGTTAAATGTTTCATTGTATTCTATTTTGAGCATTGCCTATAAAACTAGTCTTTGATAGCACAGTTTAAAAATTTTTACTATGTGTTTTATTTGATAGAAGATATTGCAATACTCAGCTCATCCTCCCAATGAAATAACCATATCATATCTATTTGAACCCATGAATTGCTGCAATTATTGTTTGATGTGCCAGCAGTTGCACTATGCCCTACCAGGTGGCCCTTGGGTTTTCAGTTCTGTCACATTTACTCGTGTGTATGCATGTGTGCACATGCACTTGTAAAGACAGTTCATATAACAAAAACAATTTTACAAATATTTGCCTTTTTAAACAAAAGGTGTGCCATATATTTTTATTAAATCATAGAAAACAGTTGTATACAAATTTTTCCACTTTGAGGAAATTGGAATAGTAAACATCTGGGTAACAAAACGGTTGAAAGATATATCTTGCTTTAAGCAGAAACAAGTTTTAAGTGGTCACATTTATTAAAATTAGAAAAGAGGCTGAAATTATCAGTAACAGGTTCTTGGCTTTTTCCACCTCTAGGCCAAACGAGTACTTCTTATAATCCTCAATTTTCTTTAAGGACGTTTTTTACTAGTTTAAATAGTTTAAAAGACAGTTAACTTGGCCTCTGCACACAAAACCAATTACTTTTTAACCTCTGCAGGGTTTTAGGATACTGAAAATACTAAATTTCAGGAGATGGTCTCTTTCCACAGGGCTGATTAAGCTTCCTTTCTACAACAGCAAACATGTATAACAGTGTGGAATATATTTCAGAATAAGTTAAATATTAAGACATACAGTATGACAACAATGTCCTACTTTTCTTTCTACCAAATAAATTTCAAAGTTCATCCTAATCTTACATATTTATAAAAAGGTGAACACAGAGCGATCCAGTGATAATGAACATACACAACGACCATCAGAACCATGTTATCTAAATGTTTTGGAGGAATATATATAATGATCCTGCCAGAATCATGCTAGCACTCATTTCAGAAGGGGTCAAAATGAACAAACTGAAGTTTACCGACTGAAAATGGGCAGTGGTTTTTGAAGTACAAGTCACCAGTTGCTCTGCTTCTGAGCAGAGATCCAGAGGTGCCACTGTGACATGTCCACACTCACACGAAGTACACAACACAAACACAAGTTAAATATTATCTAAATCAGTTTAAATTAAATTGAAGACCACTACTTTTAAGTGCATATTTTCCCCTTAGCTTCTAAACGCATATCATAGATCAAGAAATAATAAGGAACACAGCAGAGGCCAACCCTGCTTCCTCTGGGAACTCCCTGGAATAACGTGAACTCTCTGGACAAGGGAGGGAAGGATGGTCTCAGAAAGTCATGTTCCTAAACTAAGTCTGGACTGAAGACTGTAAAAAAAGGAACTGAAAATAGAATCTTTGGGATTGAGATCTTGCCCATGGTGACAATCTTTTTCCCAGGATACTTCCCCAAATACTTTTACTACTGCAGGCTTCACTGGAAGCTGCTTCCAACTCCTGGGTCCCCATTGTTGATCTGCAGACCTGAAGCTCTACCAGGGAATGTGTAAACAAATCTGGAGTAAACTGCACTTCCGCAAGTTTTCTGTGTGTCAGTTAAAATCTCCTGCGTTAAGAAAAATTAATAATAATAGGAAGGTCTGCCCCAAAGTCAACTTCCCATGAAGCTTGTCTTTTGCATATCCCGCTGTAGAAAACTAAATAGGTGAATCAAATACTTTTTGCCTGGATTAACCCAAATGGTATTAGACAGTCAGAAGCATTTCTTTGGACTACCTTATTCCTGAATTATGAGAAACATTTGTCACAGCTTTTGGTCTGCCATTTTGTTAATGGAGGTGACTTGGAGATGAGGCCAGGCTCTTGTGCAGGTTGGGATTCTGGCTGTGTCTGTTTCGACTGCGAACAGATGAAAACATGGTGTCGCAGCCTGGCACTTTGCATTTGTGGAGTTGACGAAGGTGCACAGTTTTGTAGTGGGCCCTAAAGGTCCCTTTGTTACTGTATGTCTTTTGGCAGAGGTGACAGGTTATGGGCAACCCAGAAGGCAGGCTGGCAAGGCTCTGGTCAGCCTTCTCCATCAGGACACAGAGAGGGTACTCATCGTCCCCAGGGACAAGGGCTTGTCCTTCACAGTTCCCATCACTGTCCTCCATAAGCACACCTTCCTCACTTGCACCATCGGAGTCCCAGGAAGAATGGCTGCTGCTCTCCGACTTCATGCTCGAGGTAGTGCTCAAATCCAGGATGGTACCCTCACTGGGAGGGCCAGAGTTGTAGTTCTCTAGGCTGGCACTGTGGACTTGGGCTATGGGGTAAACCAGACTGCCCATTCGACTGGTTCCCTTGAAGATGACAGATGTCTGGGATGCTTGCTGTGTGAAAGCCACATCCTGATAGGCCTCCTTAGCCACATCTTTCAGAAGATAGGCTGTATGGAAATGGTCTTCACTGCTCTCCAATTCTTCTTGGTTCAACACCTTTTGGTGGAGGTTTAGGTTTGAACTATGTCTATAAGAGTGAAAAGATGGTTAGCAATGAATTGGGCTGTTGTTTTACAAAGTTATTCTAAGGAGAGCATGGGTACCAAGAAAAGCTTGTGGCATGGGTGAAGTGATGGTAATGGGTTAGCTCCTGTGGATGTACTGTGCATGTAGTGGACACGGCCCTACTATCATTCTGTGCTTGTCAGAAGCTAGCATTCACTGGAAAGCCAACAAGTCTGGAAACTTTAATTTTCACCATCTGACTGACGTAACTTCCTGTAAAACTCATCTCTTATGAACAGCTAATACTTCAACTATTTAGCTGGGACACTGGAACCAAGAGATCCTAGGATAATATCAGTCACATATTACAAAGAAGTAAGCAAAGGACTTTATTTTGATGAAACCTGGGAATATCTTCTCGAGCTGTACTGATATGGTTACTGAGTACCTGAAATGTGGCTAGTGTCATATACCAAATTGGCAATGTTTTGGATATACGGGATCACAGAAGCTTTTATTAAAACTTACTTTACCCGTTTAATGTGGCTATTAGAATATTAAAACTTTCCCATGTGACTGACATCTTTTTATTGGATAGCTCTAGTGTAGAGTATCTGTACATACTTCGCATCACATGTTTTATAGGGGTGGGTGAAAATTTGATTAGAAATGTGTGCATGTGTGTGCGCATGCACATGCATGCGTGTGTGTGCATGTATAGTTCAGTTCATATTTTCAGTGTTTCACCATATACCAGACAGAAGTTTTGCAAATGCAGCAGTATGAGCACACCACTGATCTTCTACCCAATGATTACTCCTAGAGGGCAGATAATGAACATCCATTATGACACATGTCTTTTGCTTATATGTTATCATTTGGTTATGACTTGTAAATCAATGTTGTTCTTGCTTAAGGATTCCCTAACTTCTCACAAGCAAAACCAGCCCTTACTACCAAAGGTAAAGTGTTAAAGGTGACAAAAGAATCATCCCAGAGAAAATACTTCCCCCAATACAGATCAAAATATAGGCCAGGGTCACACTGGGAAAAACACCTAACTGAAATAACTAAGAATATAATTTTCTCCTCAAAATCTCTCAAGATGTGTGTATATGGGAAGCTTAATCATATTTCATAAAATATATAACATTTAACAGTAAAACTTCTTTTATCCATTATGCTTTTGGGGGAGGTATAATCAAAATTATACTCCTAGGTCACCCACTTTGTAAACAGCTCTTCTCAACACCAACTCTGCCCTGTGATTATGTCAGTGTTCCAGGTGGAAGGGGCTGGTATGTGTCGGCAGAAAACCAGACACTAGATTGACATAGAGAGTTTAAAAAGTCAGACAGACACATTTAGTGGAACCTTGTATAGAAAGGCACCTTCTGTAACAAAGCCAACCTTATGCCCAACTATTGACACTAACAGCTAACCTGTAGCTCCTCTTTCCCCTTCTCAAGCCTTAGTGTTAGATGCTATTCGAGTCAGTTTCCATGTTCCCTTTGATGAAAGCCTGTCAGGAGAGCCAGCATCTTACACCCACACACATAGCTCCTGAAACAACCTGCCAATCTCCTTTATTTTCTGATATCTTAATATTTGAAACTGCAAATACACCCTAGATCATGAACCAGACATTCTACTTCCAGGACTTTGCATATCCTGTGCCTACTATTCTTATCTTCCCTTCAATCTCTAACTGCCCCTCCAGCTCTTCTCCCTGATTTTATTTTAGTTGAGGCCAGTGGTTCTCAAAAGTGTGGTATGAGCAGTCCGAGTGGTCCCTGAGGCACTTTCAGGGGGTTCCTGAAGTCAAGAGTTCATAAGTAACTGAGACATTATTTGCCTTTCCTACTCTCATTCTCTCACAAGTGTACAGTGGAGTTTTACAGAAGCTACATAATTACAACAGACTGAATGCAGAAGCAGATATGAGAATCTAGTTGTTGTCTACTAAACCAGATATTAAGGAGATTTGAAAATACGTAAAACAAAGCCACTCACCTAAGGGTATATTTTTAAATACAATTTTATACTAAAAGGTATGTTTACTGTTATTTTAAAGCAATATAATACATTTTTCAGTTTGAATATCTAAATAGCAAGTATTGAAAGTGATAACCTAAGTAGAGAAAAGTTTGCTAAGTATCTGTATCTATAAAAGTGTTGTGAAACCAAAACATCTGTGAGTTGCTGGTTTAGCTATACCCTTTTTTTCCTGGAAGGCTTGCTAACTTCTCAAAGAGTCTGGTTAGGTGCCCTCCTAGGCACCCACAGCAGTTTACATTTCTCCCATTGTTATAGCTGCACTCACCTTTTACTTCTCTGGGCAGGGATTGTGTCTCTAGCACCTACTGCAAAATATTCTTTTTGTTTGTTTGTTTGTTGCAAAATATTCTTAACAAACATTTCTTAGCTAAAGAAGCTAAGCACCTCAGGTGCTGTCCCAATCCCTCCATGGTGGGTCCTGGTAACAGCTGCTGGCAGTACCAGTGGCTTAAAGAGGGAAGGTGAACTGTCCTTACAACAATGTGGCTCTTACCTCTGACTCAGAGAAACAGTGGTGGGCTTGGGCCCACCCACAAAGCCCCATTTAAAATGGTATCATCTGAATCACAGATTCTAGATGAGATTATTAGAATTAGTAGTGTTAAATTAAGAATACAAGATGTTTTCCTATTGTGTTGGGGGGGCTCATATCTATAAATAGACTAGAACATAAGAAAATATTAAATAAATGAAAAGATAGATATCAAATGAAAAAGCATGTTGCATCCAATATGTGTTCTAATTTAGTAGATACCGTAGGCTAGAACAGTCTCATAAATGTCAAGGATAATCTGACTGATATGACTACCACTTTGTAACAACGGCCTATTCATGAACAAACACTCCTCCTCTTGGAGGATGAAGGAGAAGGACTGGTTCACTAATTAGGGTACCCTAGTGGTTTGGTTTAACATCCTAGCAACAGAAACAGGAATTTTAACTAATATCTCCCGTGCTGTATCCTCTTTGCTAAAGACAATGAGTGTGTTCTTATAAGCCTATCCAGGAATGTGTGTGGGAGTCTGTACATTTTTACCCCGTTAACAAATTAGGTATTACAATTTGGACTAAGTTAGGAGTACTGAACTGCTTCAAGTCAAACTTGTTTGAGCAAATGTAGCATTTTAATGTTCTGTGGGCTATTTAGTATTTATCACATTGCATTTCATCAGACAGCTAATCCTTTCGTGAAACGTCCTAGGTCATTTTTGGTATGCTTACTGTTCCACAGGCTAGGGAGAGGGGTGATCTGAGGAGTGGTTAGAGACCCAAGTTCATGACAGAAAGCATAAACAAGATAGCAGCGCCTGTGCTATGCTCCTGGAATAGAATCCATAGGTAGGCATTTTGTAAATAGTTTGCCTCTGTGCTTGTCATGAAAGCCCGCATCTTACACCCATACACACGGCTCCTGAAATAACCTGCCAATCACCTTTATTTTCTGATATCTTAATATTTTAAAAAACTTTAATCAAGCAGATATTCTCCATTTCAAATGTAGATGGCTGACTAGAAATCAGAGAAAATGTTTCATTTGATGGGCTTCATATTATGAAATGGAAATCAGACGAGTTTTGTTAAACTACAGTGATAATTTAAAAAGCACCCTCCCCTGTCCTTTTCAAATATTAATCTTTTGCCCAAGCTTTTAATATGAAAACTAATTCACAACTCCTTACCCTACATCCATGGGGCTAGATGTGTTCTAAGTTTAGAAATTCTGACCTTAGAAAGGCAGAACAACATATATAGTGAAATAAAATGCTAATGTTCCTATAATAAACATATACATTCATTAAAATTTCTGTACAAAATAAAAATTAAAAATCCACATACAAAAGCAGAGTAGAAAATGTTTACACATACTCCCTCATCATTTTAGGTTAGCTTTTGTAGCCAAATATTTTTGGAATTGAAAACTAATGAATTTAGAAATAGGAAAACTTACAGAACAGTGATTCTCAAACTATGGTCCCCAGAAGAACAACAATGGTGTGACCTGGGAACTTGTGAGAAGTGTGACTGTTCAGGCCTCGCCCTAGATCTTCTGAAGGAGAAATTCTAGGGATAGGGCCCAGAAATCTGTGCTTTAAGAACCCTAGACGATTCTTTGTGAAAGTTTAAGAATCACTGCTTTAGAAAAAATGCCAGCAGACGCCTTACCTGTCTCTGCTCCTGCGGGATGGGAAAGTGGCACCGCAGCCCTCCACCGTGCACATGTGCGTTTCTTTGGCATGCATATTCTTGTGATGCATCTTTACACCGCAGGCGTTTTTGAAAGTCTTTTTGCAGATGTCACACTGGAAGCGAGTTTCTTCCTTCTGCCTTGCTAATGCATGCTGACTCACGTGCTGTAGTTCTTTAGAATCTTTGAGACAAGGAAAGGTTATTTCCCTGTTGGATAAAGCACTGAAAAGTCCTCCAGTCAGCAGGTGCTGCTGCAGCTCCATGTAGTCAGGAAAAGGAATGCGGGGCTCCATTCCAGGTGTGAAGTGGTGTTCGTGGCTGTCATCATCAATCTCCCTTGGCACCACGGTCAACGCTAGCTTCTGCTCAGTCTCTCTCTCTGAATTGTGTGTGGCCTGATCGGGGGTTCGGCTCATGGCTCCATGGGACTCAATCACTGATTCGAGGTGGCAGGGCCTTTCTCCTTGGGGGAGAGGCTTCCTTAAGCTTCCTGACAGTGAGATCTGCTTCTCGGGTATTCTGTCTGACACAGGGCTGCAGGCTTCTGGCTCATCTTCACTGACCACCTGCAGGGGCATGTCTTCATCGGAGCTAAGGTTGTGCCTCTTTTCATTAGCAATCTCCACAGCTTCCTTCTCAATTTTGATAGGCATGCTGGACTTGCGGGATTTCTTCTTGGGAAGAACATCAAATGGCATTTCATTGGAAACCAGCTGTTCTGGGATTGAAGAGGACAACAAAGGGAGGGAAGGCAGTATCCCAGGAGTGTTTGCAAGCTCAGCAGGAGTGGCTGGACTGCGGTAGAAAGGAAGGACCGGCTGGACTGTCTTTAGGTTGGGGAAAAGCACACCATTTTGCCCAATGCTCGAGAAGGCTGGTTGGCCTTGGGAATCCTCCTCTGAAACAGTGTAGCTGGGGAGAGGTCTGCAGTCTGGGGACATCACTGTGAATCCTGGACGCTTGTAGCTCTCAGAGCTTGCCAGATTCAGGCTGTTCCTGAGATCTTTGTCTCGGTTATTTCTATTCATTGGCATGTGGAGCCGAGGGTTGGGGTTGGCGCTGTGGCGGTTCCGGCTCCTCAGAGAGCTGAACACCATGTTACATCCTTCGATAGTGCACTTATGCTTTATCTTCAGGTGGACAGCATTGTAGTGGATCTTGAGGGTACCTTTGTCGTAGAAGGTCTTCTCACACGCAGTGCAGAACACCCGGCCCTTCTTTGTGCTAAGGCTATTCCTTTCAGGTTTTACTTTGGCCTCAGGGGATAACTGTGTCCTTTCAAGCTTAGCAACAATGCTGTATGAGCTGGAGTCACTTAAATGGGCACTGTCTTCTTTTTGAGGTATAGCATCTGGACAGTTTAAACACTGCTCTTTTTCAATCTGAAATGGTGTGGAGTTGGAAGTCAAGAAGCTGCTGTCGGAGAAAGGCCCGTGGATTTCCTGTTTGGGGTCATGGCTTTGGTCCTGACCCTGCTCCAGCATATACTGTTCAGGCAGTGACCCTATCAGTGCAGGAGGCAAAGGGTTGAAGAACTGAAAAGGCAGCATGAAAGTCATATTGTTTATGAGGTTCTCAAACGGGTGCACACTGCTAGGGCTTCCTTTGTCCACAGGGGTGGGAAGGCTAGCACTCCTGTGGCCACAGCTTTCAATAAAAGCCCTAATATCTACATTTGCTGTGGAAGGGGGTATGATGATGGCCTGCTCTTCTTTCTCCTGAATTGCCATGAGTTCCACTATGGACTTGGTCTCTCCAAAACGAAGGAACTGCTGCAAGGTGGCCACTTCTTCCTCACTGGTCATGATGTTCCAATGATCCAACACCTTTCCTGATGCATCCTAAACCCAAATCAGAATTTAAAAGTATGATCAATTTACTGAACTTTAGTCTTTTCTCCAAGAAAGTAGCAATCTGATCAGGGTTCCTCTAGATGATAGGGAATATTGACACTGATTAGAAAAAGACGTTCCCTTGCTTGCAGAGTTCAGCCCCTGGCCAGAAACTCTGTGAAGAACATAAACTGCACAAATGTAAGTAGTGCTCCTACAAATGGTCCAGAAGAGAGAAATAAAATTGTATTACTCAAACTTAAGGAAATTTGGTTATTATATTTTATCTTATTTCAAATCAATTGGTTGTCTTTTGTTAGGCATAATGATTTTCCCCACTAAAATTAAAATATGTATTATTTGAACAATAGCCACTTTTTTATCTAGAGACTATAGATGAGGCACTCAAGCCTAGATTTAGCTCAAGTATTCATTTGCTGCAAGTTTAATAATCTTCCCAAGCAACTACCATCAGAAAACAAATGAATCTGTATTGATCTATTGCCCATGTTCACAAAGCAGAGCTGTAATTACACTGGAGTGTTGGAGATCTTTCAAACTTTAGTAAGGCCTAACTTTTCCCCAAAATGACAATAAATATTTTATCACAGAACATGTATTTGATGGCCTACTGAGATTTTTCACAGTGCATGTAAGAGTTTTAAGATGATGAGGAATGTAACATCATAAATTTTTCATGCACTAGAGAGGTTCAAGGTAATTGATTCCATATTTTTAATCCTAACACTAGAAAGTAAGATTATTAGTATCATTAAATATTGATCTATGTCATAATGTAAGATTATAGTGCTACTCTACATAAACATTTATTTTGAGACTGCTGGGGGGTCCTGCACTAGAGGTGAGCAAATGTGTTTCCAGAGAAAAATTACAGGCTTTAGAATAAGGCAGAAGTGGGTTCAAATTCTGGATCGGCCACATATTTCTGGAATGACTTTCAGCAAGATATTAAAGTACTCTGAGCTTCTGGTTTTTCAATTGGAAAATGGGGATAATAAGCCTACCTTATAAGATCACTTGAAGAACATCTGTGTTAATAAATGTTTGTTTTTAGTGTTCCTTTAATGATACAGTCTATGTAAGGCTGAAGTTTATGTCATTCATCTCGTATTTCATTGAATTTTTAGCTGATATTTTGCTGGTGTAGAGGCAAGGAAAAAAAGTGCTATAGGTGTTTCAAAGGAATAATATAATTCACTTCAAGGAATGTGTTATTTGTTCATAAAAACACCTGATATCTTCTTTGAATATGAAACATTCAACTTTATACCAACGACATGGTGTAGGAAAGGTTAAATTACAAAGAGAAAAGAAGGGATGAAGAGTACAGAGCACTGGATGAAAGAAGAGAAAATAGGAGGAAGCCAAAAGAGAATTGTAGGGAGGAAGAGGGAAAAACAGAAGAGGGGTAGGAGTAGGGCTGGGAGAGAGAATGAACAAGTACAGGAATACAAATGTCACTTGAAGTGGAGCCTAGGAAGGCAAATCAGCAGCAGGAAGGCAGAAGAAGTGGCACAAAAGTGCTCACTTGTTTGCCATTTGGTTCTGTAAATTTCCTTTCTAACGCCTAAGTTCTCAGTAAAATCTGACACAGACAACATCTTGTGTCATTGGGTAATCTGGGGATAATAAAAGAAGCAGAAGCAGCACCCAACTTGGGGCAAATGGTTTGCTGCTGAAGAGGTAGCTTAGTGAAACCCTCACTGGAGAATGTGTCAAGCTCCCACAACCTGACAGCTATTTTGGGGAAAACATGGGGCTCCCTAAGGAAAGGAGGTGGGGCTTAAGTCATTAGAAAAATATTAAAGGGAAGGATGACCACTAATGGTCGGATTACTGTTAGGCAACTGGGTTAATCTGTTCCAAGGGTACTCATTTCAGGAGACACTAGGAGAAGAGTACCTGCAGCACATATCCACGGATGTAATCCTGCAGGGTCCAGTCCAAGGCATGGAGAATTTGGAGCACCTCATCTTGCTTTAACACGCTGAAGAGTCGGTCCAGGAGGATTTTCAGGCGCACAGGGATGGCCTGGGTCCCATACAGCATGAGGCTGCTAATGTCAAACACCACATTGGACTGGACAATTTCTACCTGGCTTGTTGGATACATGGGGGGAATCCTCAGCTTACTTAGAGCTGAAAAGCAAATTGAAGAAATATTACTTTGAAAGGTTTTTATTTTAGGAGAGACACTGCACAGAAAGCAGACTAGGGCTGATTCTCAGTTATCTGTTTCTACAGAAAAAACATGAATACACAAATGACTAATAACCTTAATAACTATTAAGCTTCAAGTTACTCATAGGAAATTCTAAAATAAAACTGACTGACCTAAGACTGTTCTCCCTTTCCTATCCCTAAGGAATCATACTGTTACAAACAGCGAAGGTATAAGGAAAAGGAGGAAACACAACAGCTAATCAAGAGGATGAACAATTAGGAAGCAAAGATCCTGGCAGTGAAGAACCTGGGCTTGGGAATCTAGGAGATTGGGCTGGAGCCCTAATCAGCTGCTTTTTACTTATGCTGCCCAACAGATTAAGCCACCTAAATCCAAACTATGGCCACCAGCCACATGTGGCTATTCATATTTAGATTAAAACTAATTAAAATTAAATAGTTTATAAATTCTACTCTTTGGTCACATTAGTCACATTTCAAGTACTTGGTAGTTACAGGGAGCCAGGGCAGAGTTGTCAGATTTGGCAATGAATAAATTTAAGGGATATACTTTCACTAAAAATGTATTGGGACATGCTTAAACTATAGGATTAGAGGCTGCTTAGTTGCACAGAATATTTCTATTACTGCGAAAGAAACAGCAGTGAAGCACCAGTTTCTACATCTTTAGAATAGGGTTAATAAGCCATGATATACAGTTGTTAAAATTCAGCGATAACTTATGAAGCTGTTAGTCTGTAACCCAGCACATGCTAGAAATTTACCTGTTAGCTGTTATCCTTAGATATTAAGCCATATTCAGTTCCCAAGTAACGGTAAGTTATTAAGAGGGCATACTATAGACCAACACAGGGCAAAAAAGTCAGTTACCATGTGCCACCCATCCATGTCTGCACTGCTCACACTGACGGTGGTTTATTTTCCCAGGTTTGAAGCTTTGGCAACTACAGTTCAGAGTACAGCCGATAGCCTGCGAAAGAGAATAAAAAATGTCTGTGTAGCAATGTAAGTGCTGTGTGGAAAATAATGGCATTTAGGAAACAAAAGATATTCTTCCATTCCACAGCATTCGCTGAGCATTGAGTATTCACTCTGTGCCAGATCCAAAGGTGTGTGCAGCACTTTGGAAAGATGAGCAGCTGGGCCAGCACTTGGGAGACTATGAACATATTACATGGATATTCTACATGGGTGTATGGGCAAAAACATGAGGACTTATAAGAAAAGATTATGGCTTGGAAGTTACTTTCCAGCTCTGTTATGTAATTAAGGATATAAAGTCAACAGTCATTTTCACTAAATCTCTTGAGTTGACCAGAACAGCAGCTCTGAAATGGTTTCAGAAGCCATGCAGTAAAAGGAGGAACAATTTGAACTGAGAGCAATCCAAGCATGGAATTTGTTATTCCAAAAAATGTGGTAGAGGCTGAAAATACTTGAGAACATTCAATGGCTGGCTAGGCTGATTCTCTGATCACAATCCTTGGACCACGTGACTGACTTTCAGGGACAGACAACTGGACAAGACCTGCACTGATGCCTCAGTTGCCTGTTATAGTGCTGTGTTTAGGTTGATTATACTAAAATAGAGCTGAAACAGAATACAGAGATGTTTAACATAGCTCTAGTGTTAAGAGCAAAGCCATATGGGAGTTTCCCCAAAAGAGACAGAGGCTTGAAAAATATAATCTATTATTAAAAAGTCTCAAAGGAGCTCTATCAGTGAGATTCCTGGGAAGAGGTACTGGGTAGAATCTATATGATTCAAGAAAGGCTTGAAAATAGGCAGTGTGTGTTATTGGAGGAAGGCTGAAAAGACTTACAGTTATAGCCTTAAATCCCTAATCTAGCATTTGAGGAACCATGTTGCTTTGCATGGAGGACAAGCAAGGGAGAATTTGGCTAAGGACTTGGGAAACTCACTTTAAGAAGTATAAAACCAGTTTTCACTGAAAAACCAGTTGCTGGTAGGGCTGCAAAATGGTACAGCCACTTTGGAAGATACTCTGGAAGCTGCTTAAAACATTAAACGTAGAGTTACAAAATGACCCAGAAATCCTACTTCTCAGTATGTAGCCAAGAAAACTGAAATCAAGTCCACAAAAAATGTGTACATGAATGTTTGCAGCATTATTCACAATGGCCGAAAAGTTGAAACCACCCCAACATTCATCAATTGATGGATGAATAAATAAAATGTGGTATATCCATACAATAGAATAAAAAAGAAATGGAAGAACTGATACGTGCTAATAAAAAGACATGAAAAATTAATACGCGCTACACCATTAGTGAAACTTGAAAACACTTTAAAACATTGTAAACTTTAAGTGGGTGGATTATATAACATACAAGTTTACAATTTGTGATTTTTTTTTAGTATACTCATAGTTATGCATCATTATAACAATTTAATTTTAAACATTTTCATCATCTCCAAAAAGACCCTCGTGTACGAGTTTTAATAGACATGTTTTCATTTCTCTTGGGTAAAGTCCTAGAAGTGGAACTGCTGGATTACACACAGGTACATCTCATTTTATTGCCTGTTGGTTTATTGTACCTCACAGACACTGTGTTTTTTGCAAATTGAAGGTCTGTGGCAACTCTGTGTTAAGCAAGTCTACACAAACCATTTTTCCAATGGCTCAGATGATTGTTAGTATATTTTAGCAGTAAAATGTTTTAATCAAGTTATTTACATTGTTTTTAAACACTATGTTGTTATACATTTAATAGACTACAGTATAATATAAATACTTACATGTTCTGGGAAACCAAAAAAAAATCCATGCGATTTGCTTTAGTTTGACATTTGCTTTATTGCAGTAGCCTAACTGAATTCACAATTATCTCCAAGGCTTTTTGTAAAGCCATACAATATAATACAGAGAACTTGGTTTATATAATCCTAACTCTGTCCTACTTTAATTAAATTAAGCATTCTCCAGAGGGGGTGGCATCATCCCCAAAGGAGTGAAAACTGGTTCTCAGGGGCATTAAAAAATGCCACTCTTTTTATGTATAAAGCACAGATACTCCTATGTAAACATATATGTATATATACATATACATATATATAATTGTGTGTGTGTGTGTATATATATATATGTGTGTGTATATATATATATATACATATATATATATATGATAGTGTGATAGTAAAAGTTCATTGGCACAATTAGGAAAAAAAATTTTAAATCTCCTCTGGTGTGGGATGTAATGTTAAAAAAATAGATTGAAAAATACTATTTTAGTGCCAGAATTTATTTTACTTTTCTGTTACAAAGTTTTTACCTGCATATGCACATACAAATATTTTAAGTATATGAACACATACATCTGTACATACATACTTTAAGCATTATTATATAGTTACCTTGAATGGAAGTTGAAGGCTAAAAGTAAGTAGTGGTTTACATTACACATCACAAAGCAAAAATTTAAAAAGATAATGAGCTTAGTTTGTGGCACACCTAATATGTTGTCCAGCATTTCAAACTTTGGTCACAACTCCATGAATGAGTTTGCTGATGAACCAATCATTTGTACACTGTCAGTAGCTACCACCACATTTAGTACTAAACCTGTACAGTATTTCACAATTTAGATGCTGTAAATGTGTGACCGACTTAAAGAAAAAATTTTAAAAGGGAGAAAAGTTCTTCTTTTGGATTATATGCCTTAAGACGTCTCTTTCACTACTTAAAAATAGGATATTGGCACTATACAGGTAAACTCATTTTATTTATTCAGGAACTAAGACCTCTGTACCCACCACTTGCCTACGGTTCCCCACTTCTTTTTTTGTTTTGTTTTGTTTTGTTTTTTGAGACAGGGTGGGTCTCACTATGTAGTTGAGCCTGACCTGGTACTCACTATGTAGCCCAGGCTGGTCTCAAACTCACAGCGATCCTCCTGCCTCAGCCTCCAGAGTGCTGGGATTACAGGCGTGTGCCACCACGCCTGGCTGTTCCCCACTTCTTAAGTGGTGACAACTGAAATCATCTGCAGACACTGCCAAAGGCCCCTTGGATCTATACTGCTCCCTGGTTGAAACCACAGACCTAATTTGACCATCCAGTTTTAGCAGCTTCAAGTTTGGAGAAAGAATTTTAAAGAACTTTATGTATAATTCCAAAGTATGAATGCTACTTTATAAGAAACATTCATGTGACTCTACACAAACCTATTTGAATAAGGCTTATTAAAGGCTCATTAAACATCTATGGAAATAAATGTCAGGAATTATTTATGAACTAAAAAAAAACCAATTACAATGTCTAAGAAAAAATCCAGTATCAAGGCTCTTGGATTATTCCACCCATCTCAGAATTCCACAATGTTGTAAAATTACAGCACCATTATCTAAAGATAAATTAAAACTTTTAAAATCAAACAAAAATTTTAATTACAGGACAAAAAGTACTCATGTAAATCAAAATTGAAAACTCTTAAAATTTACCTCCTTTCCTTTGGAATCCCAATACTTGTTCTATTCTTCAGAAACATAAAGCAGATGTTTACAACACTCTGAACTCATCAAGACATGATTATGGCTTCTTATGCACTCATCTTAATCAGACTATTTCTGGAATTGTTATTAGTCACTTTGATATGCTACAAATCAACATTCAAATTTATGGTTTGCTTTTTCTGTAACTCTCACTTGCTCATTCATTCATCCTCTAACGGATACACCTAGTATGTGATGAGTTTATTTGCTGTGTTGGGGTGGGATGTTATGATCTAGCTTTTTGGTAGGCTGGGGGACCCATTTCATCTCCCAGATAACCCTGCTCTACCTTCAGCTTGGGGATATGCTTCCAGAGATGCTAAGTTGAATCTCTGCCCAGGCACTTGGTGGAATAGAGGCCCAGACATTCTGTGCTGGACAGTACTGTACAGACCTCTGATGGGATTTTTTTCTTTTATTGAGTTTATTGGTACATTTTAGGTACACAGTACAGTTACATTCATTATTGGGATCATGTACCTTTACATGACAGGTCTTGGTTCTCATTTTTTCCCCTTGTCCCTGCCCTCCCTTCACCCCCTTCTCCCCTCCCCGTTTACAAACACTTTATTTCCAGTTTTTCATTTTCTCGTATTTTTTTCTTTTCCCTTATTACCTTTCGCCTACCCTTCTCACTTCCCCTATACCTTTAGCCCTTTTCTTCCTATTTCACATTGTCAATTATCTCATTAGGATCTTATGTACTATTATATTTTTTCAAACCCGAGAAATTATTCGGTATTTACACATGTGACTTATTTATTTCACTTAGGAGTATATCCTCAATATGTATCCATTTTCCTATGAGATGGGATTTGAATTATTGAGTTAAAAAATAAAACCTGTTTACTTCAAAGCTATTTTTATCTCTGGAACATGCAGGTATGGTTATAGCACCAAAGACCAATCAGAGGGAATATTTTTAGGGGACTAGATGGAAGAGGGAGGGAGAAAAACAGAAGAACTTTAGGGCTTCTAGATGCATAGCCCTTTGAATCTGGTAGAGACAGAAAGTAGAATTTCATTGAGCCTGGGAACTTGGACTTGTTTCTTAGTTTGTACTGTCCAGTGCACTAGCCACCTGTGGCTATATAGATTTAAATTAATTATTTAGCAATTTAGCTCCTTGGTCATATCAACCACATTTCAAGTGCTCAATAGACGTGTGGCTAGTGGCTAGTGCACCAGACAGTGGTGATACAGAACATTTCCAACATCTCAGGAAGTTCTATTGGACAGTACTGAGTTCAGGAGACTAGCTAATGTTCTTTGACATGGTAATGCTCATGTTTAACAGATGATTTCATTTAATCCTTATTACCTTGCTGTGAGAAGAGAATTATTCTTGGGAAACTTAAATTTATGGAGGATTTGTAACTTGCCCAAGGCCACATAATTGATAAACTTTATTGAACATTTTATAAATGTGTGAGACACTTTATTAAGAAGGGCACATATAGTATTTCATTTCTCACAATCACTAAGGAGGAAGGGCTAATTAGCTTTATTTTATAGATAAGGAAGCTGAGAAATTTAAGGCTATCAGGTGGTGTCAAATATAG